CCATTGGGGATGGCCATGCCACAATCCCTTCTTCTCCATTCTCCTCCTGGGATTTTGGGTGCACACACACACCTGCTGCAGTTTTCATGATGCTAGGTCCAGGACTTGAACAGCATTTGGCCACATGGGAGTCCAGTGACACCCTCTAGCCACCTGCCGGCTGCTGTTTTTAAATAGACCTTATTTTTACAGCACTCTTAGGTCTGTAGGAAGTACAGAGCTCCCATATATCCCAACGGTGAGAGCTACTGAGCCCCAGCCCCCCAGCCATCCAGAGAACAGTCATGCTGGCACGTGCCTGCTGGGCGGGGCCTCCCCGCACCCACCTGTTTCCCCCATTGTTAACATCTAGGATTCGCGTGGAACGCTGGTTACAACTGCTGAGCCCATTCTGGTACATGGTTATTACCTAAAGTCCACGGTCTCCTTGCAGGTTTACCGGTGTTGCACTCACTGGGTTTTGACACCCATTGTCACATATGCACCATTACGGGATCATACAGAAGGGTTTCACTGGTTTCCCTGCCCTGAGCATGCTCCGAGCCTCTTTTTTTTTTAATTGCTAGAGGGCTCCTGCACTTGCCAGAGAGACAGAAAGCAAGCAAGTACTCCCCAATGGGGGGTGGCCATGCCCTAAGCCCCTCTCCTCCATTTCTCCACCCTGTTGGGATCTGAGGCATGGATGCAGACACACGGATCTGGTGCACTTTTCGAGCTGCCAAGGCCAGGACTCAAACCACAGTCGAGCCTCAGTTTTAGTTTCTGAACAGTAAGTGAAGCTCATCCGAAGGCTTTCGGTCTCCCACCATTGGTTTCTAACTTAGGCTTTGTGGCAAGTGAAATGACCCTGAAACCAGCTCGATGTCTCCCTAAACATGGCTGCTATCCATCAGAGCCCTGGGTCAGGACCAGAGGACCTCCTTCAAATGCACATGCTAGATGTCATCTCCTGACCTGCTGAATCTGTCCCTGGGGATATGGCCTGGGAATCCGCTTTGTTTAAATGTGTTTATTTTTTCTATAAGGCGAGGTACTCACTAGAGGGAGGGATGAGGAATCGTCCCTCAGGGGAAGGCCATATCATAGTCCCTTTTCCTCTAGTCTCCTCTTGGGATTTTGGGCACGCGCACACTCACCTGGCATGGTTTTCAAGCCACCAGGTCCAGGGCTCAAACTGCATGGTCAGCCATGTGGGATATAGCAGCCTTAACCTCCATGCCACCTGTCTGGCCCAGGAATTAGCATTTAACATGTCTCGTGCTGCACCGGAAGATTGAGGCCTACTGTGCACAGGACAGGGACTCCCGGGCCAGGCTCCTAACTACCTGTATAAATGGCAATTGGTCCTACCAACATTTTCCAAACCTAAGCAGGAGGATCCGAACCATGATCGGATGAAAGCTCTGGAGAGAGATGCCCCCTCTCAAGAGGGTGAAGGAGAACAGTTTGCCATAAAGCCAGGAAAACGTTCATTCCTTCCTCCTCCAGCTCCCCGTCGGCAAGCCTGCTGCCGTTTCAGATCCTGACTGCTTATCACTCACCCAAAATAACCCAAATGTGCTGTCTCCCCAGCTGCAGTGCTCTCCACAGCTCCCTTAATTTAGCAGCTAGACACGTTTGGCTCCACCACAGAGCACAAGGCCCAAGCACAGGGCCATCTGCAGTGGGTTGAAGTGTCCCCTCCCACCACCCCCACCCCCCAAATTCATGTCCAACCCGGAACTTCAGACTGTGCCATTACGTATTTATCAGGGTGGGCCCTAAATTCAGTGACTGGTGAGGACAGACAGACGCAGGGAAGAAGGCCACGGGGATATGCTGACAGAGACTGGGGCGACAGTGAGAAGCCGAGGAGGGCCGAGGACTGCCAGGAACCGCCAGGAGCTAAAAAGAGGCGAGGAAGTGTTCTCTCCTGGAGCCTCAGCGGGAGCACGGCCCTGCTGACACACTTGATCCTAGACTTCTCACCTCTAGAACTGTGCGAGAATAAATCTCTGTTGTCTTAAGCCACTGGCTTATAGTGACTGGTGCAGCAGCCCTAGGGAACGGATCCATCAGGATTGCTACAGACTCCGGCCGGCTCAGCCCGCCCCTCCCAGCCCTGCTGTAGCTGGGAAGGAGAGGACCCCACACGCAGGTGACTCTCCTCGCAGGCGCTTTAATGCAGCCCATAGGACCAGAGTTACTCTTCCCCAACCGACATTTCTCGATTCTGCCTCTGTGAGGCTCATCTCCCACGAGAAGGGCCTCTGTCCTCTGCTTAGAAGTCTCTAGGCCATGAGGGTTGAGGCTCCAGGGGTGACAAACACGGGTCCCGTGTGGTGTCTGGCCAGCAGTGCTGTGTGGCAGTTCCAGGCTCAGCCGGGGTCGGGCTGGACGAGTCACTGCAGCTTCAAGCCACTCCGGCGCCGTGAGTCTTTCCGGGCGATGGGGCTGAAGTTCACAATCTCCTTGTAGATGTGCTCTGAGACAAACAGGGTGGTTTAAGGTGGACGAGGGGGTACTGTGGGCAAGAGGGCCCACCCCCACTTCAGACAGCGTGGAGTAGGAGGTCAGTTCAAGCAGAAGGAAACACAGGGGTAATGTCTACTCAGAGAAAAGTGGGTGGGAGGCTCCGGGTGGCTGGGGCCAGGCCTGAAGCCCAGGGAGACAAAAAGGGGATGCAGGCTGGCAGAAGGGAGGCCCAAGCCCCCAGCTCTTACGCTTCCATTCGTCCACTGAGAGTTTCTCGTGCTCTAAGGCATCATCAAATGGCTGGGCCTCTGTCTCCTCCTCTGGGTCCCGGATGGGCTCAAAGAAGGGGTGGGCGAGGGCCTGCGAGGCTGTCAGACGCTTGTCCACGTCCAGCTCCAGGATCTTTTCCAGCAGGTCAGTGGCTGCAGCGACAGAGCCCTGAGCCTCACAGCCAGCCCAGGGAACCCACCCCCTGGGATACCCTAGAGGCCCCCAGGTGCAAGCCCGAGACTCACCCTGGGGGCTGGCCCGCGGGAAGAGCTGAGTGAAATCTTTCTTGGGGCTCTGGGGCAGTGACTGGATGTAGGATTTGGCCTGGAAGACAGAAAAGCATGGAACCTCAGGGCTCTGGTGTCAGGGTGTAGAGCAGAGAGTTCAGAAGAGCCCCAGAGCGGGGCTGAAGGCTCTGGGGAGAGTCCCAGGTGGGATGAGGCAAGAGCACCTGCCAGGGCAGAGGGGCACCATGGAGAAGTGCAGGTGCCCCTCCTCCCAACGCCCCCAGCCCACCATAGCCCAGGCCAGCCTAGGCCCCTCGAACTACCCACCGCTTTGTCATGGAGCTTCTGCACAAACTCGGTGCCTGGCACCCCCGTCACTTTCAGGATTTGGGTCAACTGGTCCAGGTCTCCGCAGCAGTTAAGTCTCAGCCAGACTATCTGCCCTTCCCGCTGCCCATCACCCCACCCTGGCACTGTGGTGACCTGCCTAACCACCTCCTGCTGCTAAGGCTCAGGTTTCTGGAGCGCCAGGAAGGACCTCTACCCTAAAACACTCCCGAAGTGCGTGGTCTTCCCAGTTCTCTCGACTTCCTCATCCTTGCACAGAGAGCCGGGCAGGGCAGACCCTGCATCCTCTCACCGTGGCCTGTGCAGCACCCACAGGCACTCCGTGAATGTGTGGCATGCCACGGGAGAAGTGCGTGCCGTGTGGTGGTGCAGTTATAGAAGACTTGCTCTCCTCGCTCTGCTCATATGCATTTTAAAGTTATTCTATAGGAACTGTGTGTCACTCTCGCATTGAGAAAAAAAGAGTCCTTTAAATAAAGTTCTATTATGGGAATATGAGTTTGCCTTTTCTTTTTCTTCTTCTTCTTTTTTTTAATGCTGATAGGGTGCATTGGAGAGAGACAGAGAGAGGGAAAGTGAGAAATTTGCCCTCCGCAGGGGAATGGCCACACCGCATCCCTTCTCTTCCACTTTCCTCTCAGGATTTTGGGCACACATGCACATGTGCCCAGGATTTTTCAAGCCTCCAGTTCCTGGACTCAAACCATGGTCAGCCATGTGGGAGTCCAGCACCTTAGCCACCATGTCACCTGCTGGCCTCCCTTCCCTCCCCACCCAAGTTCGGCTTTTCTGGCAAAGGATACAGTCTTTCCCCTTGAACAGAGTTTTCCCGGTCAGCATCTCGGCCATGATGCAGCCAACAGACCAGATGTCCACTGCAGAGAGGGAAGGTCACCAGCCGCCCGAGCGGGGCCGGCCATCGGCCATCGCATGGTCAGCAGGTGCCGCAGGGAAGCTGCCCACGCCGGCCCCTGTCCTGGCACTGCCCCGGCGCCCCCCACTGACCCGTCTGGTTGTAGTGCATCCAGCTGAGGATCACCTCCGGGGCCCGGTACCAGCGCGTCACCACGTAGCCGGTCATCTCGGCATCTGCATGTCGAGCCAGCCCGAAATCCAGTATCTATGGCTCGGGGGACACACAGAGAAGGAGCTCGCTGAGGAGGGGAGGCCCCTGATGCAGCTTCCCATGGTGCCCGTGGGGGGCCCCGCGCCACCCCCAGCTGAGCCTGCCGGAGACGCGCTCACCTTCAGCTCACAGTCCTCGTTCACGGCCAGGTTGCCCGGCTTTAGGTCCTGGGTGAGAGCACAGAGAGCCAGCACTGGGCTGGGAGGCAGAGACAGGCCTGTCCTGGCTGTGCCACCACCACGCGATGTCACGTAAAATGAGGGTCAGACTAGGTGTCCTCCCTGGGCCCATCCAGCTCTAAAATGTCCTTGAGCCTGACACACCCAGCTCGGGGCATTTGGCGGCAAGTCCCCATAGAGTTCCCTAGGACACAGCGGTCCTTCCAAATCCACATCCGAGCCCCTGAGAACTGTGCCCCCCCCAACTCCCAGGGGTGCCGGGCTCTGGGGACTCACCCTGTGGACAACCCCCGCCGAGTGGATGTACTGTGCAGGAGAGAGAGAACGAGGGTGACTCCATCGCCCCGGCATCCACGCCAGGCACTGGGCTGGCTCAGAAGCCCCTCCGCCCTGTCAGCCTCCCTCCCAGCCTCCCCCAGACCCTGATACCGGCTGCACCTCTGTGTCCTCAGACCTACCCACCTTAAGACCTTTGAGCATCTGATACACCAAGTACTGGATCTTGTCCTCACTGAACTCCATCCCCATGATCTTCTGCATATCCGTCTGCATGAACGGCATCACCAGGTAGCTGGAAGGCATGGGAATTTCTGGAACAGTCCCAGCCCCACCAGGCCCTCGGTCTGCTCAGAGCCAGGACGTGGGGTGGGCAGAACCAGAGCCCTAGAAAAGGCCTTCCCATGCAAGAAGAACCAGCCCCTCTCACGGGCCTCTGAGCTCCTGGCCCCTACCTCCCCCCATGGGGCCGCCAGTTGGCAGAGCTCAGGGAAAGCGTCCAGAGGGAGCATGCTCAGAAAAACCTGTGGAGCTGTGATTCCGCTCTTCAAAGCTGCCCTCTCCGTGCCCTCCTTCACGCCCCACAGATAGCCGCAGGTTAGAAACATCTGCCAGGATTTTGTTCTGCTGCTAGCAGAATATTTTCTCCCCCAAAGGGTCATGCCCAGTTGGGGTGGCTCCAAGAACAACAATTTGAAAAGCCTGCTCTTCCAAGAAGGAAACAATAAAACCACTTCCAGGAGGACAGAAAGAGGTGGCGGTGCTAGGGCACCCTCCTGTGGGGTTGCACAACAGGTCAAAGTCAGCAACAGCAACATCCCAAAGGAGAAATAATGAAGGTTACTAAATAATACATATATTTCCTTCCATAAATGAGAGAGAGAAAGAAGCAATCCTTCCAACAGGATCCTGAAGCCATAATCCACCCCCAGCCTCAGCCAGCCCCAGCCAGCCCCGGATTATGGACATGTGCATGTCCAGCATACTCAGGAAGGTCTCCAGACGCGAACCCAGAACCTTGCCATGTGGGTGCATTTTAGGCTATGCCATCATTGGGCTCCCATCAAAGGAATATATTTTTTTAAAAGATACGGTGGAGGCTACCTTCGTTTTTGAGTTTTTGAAGCCGCTGTCTGGCTGACCACGTCCCCTCTACCCCAGGACCTTGTTTCATGCTCAGCCCTGCTCCGGTGCCTTTCCCCTCTACGGGGACCCTGGTTCTTTCTTCCTGGCCCACAAACGTCAGAGGCCTGCTGTGCTCCTTCTCGCTGCGGGACCACCACAGCCCCTGATTCTGCTTCTTCAAGTCACTACTCTTTCTTCTCTTTTCTCTCAACACCCAACTCCTAGAAAGGGGGCTCCAACCCTCCCTGACTCCACCACCCTAACTTTCGGTGCCCTGATTGATCTCTGCTTCCATCTTACCACCCAAACTGTATGCCCGAGCTCACCAGCAATCGCCCAACGAACACGCCAGGGCACCTTCTTCCCAGCTAACCTTTCAGAGCCTTGACACTCCCTGCCAAGGCTCCTGGCCAGGCTCTCTCAGTTTTCTTCATCCACTCCTCCTCTCGTACCTTTTCTTTTTTTAAAAAATTATTTTATTTAACTTTATTTATTTATTTATTCATTTGTTTATTTTTCTTTCTTTTTTTTTTTTTTGGAGAGGTTTTTGCTATAGGGCACATGCGCTCTCCAGAAAGAGAGAGACAGAGAAAGTGAGAAATCACCCTCCAGGGGGATGGCCATGCTACAATCCCTTCTCCTCCATTCTCATCTTGGGATCTTGGGCACGTACACACACACACACCCGGTGTGGATTTAAGCTACCAGGTCCAGGACTCAAACCGCAGTCAACTACAAGGGAGTCCAGCGACATAGCCATTACACCAACTGCTGGTCCCTATTCTTTGTTTATTTCAATTTGACCAGAGAGGGGCAGAGAGAGAGAAAGCTAGAAAGACACGAGGTCTGGGACTCAAACTGCGGGTGGCCATGTGGGAATCCAGTGCCTTTAACCACCATGCCACCTGCCGACCCCCCTTTTCTTTAATGTTAGCATGGGAATCAACACTCTCTCATGTCTGACAGTTACCCGTTCTGGGCTGCAGCGATCACCCACGGGTGACTATTCCAGCCCCAATTCATCCCAGCCCAGACCTTTCTCTCCTGAAATCAAGATTTATTTGCAATTATGATCAAACACTTGAAAGGTCAGGGCACTTTGAAAGTGAAGGATTGGGCCAGCTGATAGCAAGGTGGTTAAGGCAGCTGGATCCCACATGGCCGACTGTGAGGTTTGAGTCCGGACTCAGCGACTTTAAAAACATACTGGATGTGTGTGCGTGGCCACCCAAAGTCCCGAGAGGAGAATGGAGAACAAAGTGAGGCACAGCCATTCCCTCCTGCGGGGCCACTTCCTCACCTTCTCTCTCTCCTGTGGGCCCATGCACCCGACTGCAAATTTCAAAAAAAGCAACGGGTCCAAAATGGAGTTCAGTATCTTTTCCCCAAGACCCGTTCATCCTCTACCTGTCCTCTGAGCAGCAGCCTAGGCACCCCGTCCTCGCCACCTCACTCAGCCACTCGGCTACCAGAGGCAGCATCCCATCAGTCCTGCCGCCACCGTCTGCAGCCTGCTCTCGTGCCCCAACAACGCCGGCCTCCCCCAGAACTGCACCTCGCTCCTTTCCTGCCGCCTCCAAGTCCATCCCCTCAATCCATCGGAACACGTCACCTCCCCTCTGAAAGCCGCCATGGACTTGAGGCTGTTCTTAGGACCAAGTCTGGACTCAGTTTGACTAAACCAGCGGCTGGCCTTCACGTGCCACACCGACCTCAGTGTCGCCCCAACCGGGCTGCCTCGATTGGGCTCTGCAAGGCGAGGCCATGCACCTAGCAGCTGCCTTCTCTGGTCTGTAACTCTGCCAGGGGGCCCAGCACTCAGAGGCAGGTAGGGCTTCCTAATCGTAGCTTCAGGCTAGAAAGCCCCAAGGTCCAGACCTCCACCCGGGTCCCCAGGGCCCGGTGAGGAGCGTTAGTGCCATCGCTGTGAGGACTGGCGGGTATGGTGTTAAAGTTGAGTAAAACGCAAAGCCACTGTGTGGATAGCTCCCCTCCGGCCTCTTCCTGCCCACCTTCCTCTGCACCCCTGCCTAAAAGCGTCTCTCAGAGAGAGTCACACCTCAACAGCCCAAAAGCACAGGGAGCAGAGGGAAGGAGTCCCCCCTTCCCTCACCCCCAACAGAGAGAGTTTGGACCCTCCTGCAACTCGCAAATAAAGCCTGCAAATGCCTGGAGCACAGCGCAGCGTGACTCACAAGTCATGGAAGTTACGCAGGGAGGAGGCTGCAGTGAAGACATCCAGGAGCCCAATGACCTGAGGAAGAAGCCACCAGTGAGGGCTGGACAGAACCTGCCCTGCCTTTCCCCCTCCTCCAGGACCTGTCCAGGCCCAGGACCCTAATACAGTCTCCCGCAGGAGGCTGGATCAGGCTGCCTTGGAAACAGTAAAAGGGTCAGAGGCTGGAGAGGACTTCCGCAGTGGGAGGGGAACTTACAATAAACAGCAGTGGAGGGCCAGGCTGGGGCAGTGCGGAGGGAGCAGGAAAACGCGGGGTGCTCATTGCTCCCACACCTAGTATGCAGGACAAAGAGCACCTAGGCCTGCTCCAGACTCAAGGAGGAAACTAGAAAGCTGGGGCCAGGGGGAGGGGAAGGGGAAGGGGCCTTCCAGCCAGCAGGCTCCCTGTCCTTGACCTTGGGTCTTCGGCCATCACCATCCTTGCCGCCACAGAGCTGGGTCAGAGCCAGGGGCAAGATCACCCCAGGCTAGAGGCCAGGGGACTGGGATTTGCTGGAGAAAGCTGGGGTGTCGGATGTGCACAGTATTTTGAAATCATTATTAGAAATGCTGGCCCTCCGGAGTTTTTCTGGAAAAAAGCCTGGTGGCCGCTGGATTCTCTGGCTGTTTCCATCAGACAGGGCCATATAGTAGTCCTACACTAAGGCCTGAACCAGGCTGTTCAGGTTCAAATCCCAGCTCTGCCACTGACCAACCACACAACCTATGAGCCTCTGTGCCTCAGTGTCCCCATCTGGGACATGAGGGTGGTAGTATAAGGGTACTTCAAAAAGTTCATGTAAAAATGGAATTAAAGTTTGAGTTTTTTTAATCATTTTTTAACCTTTAGAAATTGTTTTTAAAACATATTTTAACTATTACAATCTGTTTATTTTTCCAAAGTTTACTTCAGCATAATTTCTTTTCTTTAAACATTTAAAGTTTTAGTTTATTTGAAGGACAGCAGGTGGTGGGTTAAGGCACTGGATCCCACATGGCCAACTTTGCTGGTTCAAGTCCTAGACCCGGTAGCTTATAAAACATGCCGAATGTGTGTGAGTGTGTGCACAAAATTCCAAGAGGAGACTGAAGGAGAAGGGACTGCAGAAGGGATTGCAGTGGCTATCTGTTCTGGGAAGTGACTTCTCACTTCCCTTCTCTCTGGTGAGCATATATGCCCTATAACAAAAATCTAAAAACAAAATAAGAGTATCCATGAATAGCTTTTTTTTTTCTAGGATGCATACGCTCGCCAGACAGACAGAGAGAGACAGAGAGACAGAAAGCGAGAAATCACCCCCCAGGGGGAATGGCCACGCCACAATCCCTTCTCCTCCATTCTCCTCTCGGGATCTTGGGCACGCACGCACACGCGCCCGGCGTGAGTTTAAGCCACCAGGTCCGGGCCTCGAACCGTGGTCAACTACATGGGAGTCCAACAACATAGCCATTGCGCTAACTGCTGGTCCCTCAATTCATAGCTTTTTACTTTTTTTTCCTTCTTTTAATTTGCAGATGGCACATGCACTTGCCAAAGAGACAGAGGGAGAAGGAAAATGAGAAAACACCTCCCCTCCATGGGGAATGATCACACTGCAATTTCTTCTTATCTGTCTTTCCCTTTCAGGATTTTGGGCATGTCTGCACATGCACCTGGTGTGTTCCTTTTCTTTTTATTTGTTTTAAGAATTATTTTATTTAACTTTATTTAGGTAGTTATTTTAATTTGACCAGAGAGGGGCAGAGTGAGAAAGAGAGCGCACGTGTGAGGGAAAATGAGAAAGTCAGCCACCAGGTCCAGGATTCGAACCACAGTCGGCCATGTGGGAGTCCAGTGCCCTTAACCACCACATCACTGCCGGCCCTGTACCTGCCGTGTTTCTCAAGCCACAGGGTCTAGGACTTGAACCTCGGAGTCAGCTGTGGGTTGGCCTGTCCGCATAGATTTTTCATAATAAGTATTTTCCATGAACTTTTGAAGACCCAGCGTACTTACCTCACATGAGGATTAAACACAGTATTTGTGCAAAGCGCCTAGGACAGAGCCTGGCCCACAGGAAGTGCTCATAAATCTCTATTACTGTCACTGGTGTTAAGCAGGGTTCTAGCTCCAGAGGGTACTGGCTCCTAGACACAGGAGTGGAGAAGGCCCTGTGCCCTGTCATACAGTGAGACAGTCCCATGCCTCACAGGCACATTCTGCAGAAAAGATCCTTTGCATGCTCTTCCTGGGCAGTGGGCAGGGAGGTGCAGGCACCTCTTTTTCAGGAAAGGGGTGGAAGCAAGGAGGAGGAGCAGGGAGGAGACCCTCCTGCAGGCTCATGCATGTGCTTCAGCAGCAGCAATTCCCGGTAGGCACGTTTGGCGAAGATCTCGGACTGGAAGGGCCGGCTCAGCTTCTTGATGGCCACCTTCTCCCCAGACCGCTTGTCGATGGCCGAGCTGTGGGGGCACGAGCGGGTCAGGGGGCAACACTCTCCTCCCGGGTGCTCTTCCCCAGGACACCCTCACCCCGACCCCCACTTGGCCATCAGGCTGGGCTGGAAGGAGATGACACCCACCACCTAGAAGGTGGGAGAGCAGCGGGAAGGGGAGGGGGTGAAAAGCAAGGCAGAAATTGAGCGCGGGGCAGGGCGCCGGTCCCCCGCAGGATCCAGAGCAGGGCAGGAGCCTCCTCCAGGCAATTTGGCAAGTCACTCTCCCCTCCTGCGGCCTCAGTGTACTCACTGCAATTATGGGGGTTTTCCTGGAAACTCTGGGGTCTCTTGTAAGGTTACGGCCCTGGAGACTCAGACCCAGTCCTAATTCAACCGTCAGAGACCCCACACAGCCACCCAGCAGGAAAACGGGCTGGCGCCCGCCCACGTGCCCCAAGCCAGCCTCCACAGGGCAGCCTGGGCTTCTTGCTGATCTCCTCCCAGCTCCGCCCAGAAAAAGCCCCCGGAGCGCGCGGGCCTTGGGGTCCCGGGCCAAGGTGGTACTAGCCAAAGGCTATAGCCAAGGGCTGTCCCAGAGGACGGACCGGTGCGCAGCGCGGGTCCCGGTTTGTTCCGAGGCTCGTGGTCCCCGGGCGCCCGCCCCG